AGATTATACATTGAGCCTGCCTGATGAGACTCTAAGCCTCTCTAGCAGGACATTAAATCTATCGGGAAAAACTTCAACTGAGACCCTCAAGCAACATTTTCAAGTTAAGTCTCTCGGGTCAGACTTTGGTTAAGTCACTTAGGTTGGGCATTGTCTAAGATGGTTATAAGTCCTTCATGTGATTCGTTTAAATGAGCTTGTTCAGTGGGACTATAAATCCCCCAAACGAGATTATACATTGAGACTGTTTGATGAGACTCTTAGTCTCTTAGGTGTGGTGTTAATTATCTCAGGAAAGACTTTGGTCAAGACCCTCAGGCAAGACTTTTAAGTCAAATATCTCGGACCATAATTTCACCAAGTCCCTAAGGCAAGACCTCAGGTTGCACCTTATCTGAAGGGATTCTAAGTCTCTTAGAAGAGGTGTTTATATGAACCTACTTGATGGGACTCTAAGTCCCACAATAGGGATTATACATTGAGCATGTTTGATGAGATTCTAAGTCTCTCAGGCGGGGCATTAAGCCACTCAAGAAAGACTTAGGTTGAAACCCTCAGGCCATACTTTGGTCTAGACCCTTAGGCGAGACCTTAGGTTGGACCTTGTTTGAGGGGATTCTAAGTCCCTAAAGCGAAGCATTTATATGAGCCAGTTTCGTGGGGCTCTAAGTCCCTCAGGAGAGATTATACATTGAGTCTATTTAATGATACTCTAAGTTTCTCAGGCAGGGCGTTAAGTCTCTTGTGCAAGACTATGGTTGAGACCCTCAGACATCGCTTTTAAGTTAAGTATATCGGCCCAGACTTTGGTCAAGTCCCTTATGCCAGACCTTAGGTTAGGCCTTGTCTTAGGGAATTCTAAGTCCCTTAGGTAAGGCATTTAGATAAGGTAAACTATATTGTATAACCCATGTGTATTACCTTTGAGGGTGGCAAGGATCTTCCTGTTGAAGTCCACCATATTTTTATTGCTTTAAGAGGTAGTCAATGGTCTTCTTGTGGAAGCCCAGCATATTCGCATTGCCTTAAGAGGCGACAATAATCTTCATGTTGAAGTCCAACATAGATAGCAGTAAAACAGAAATATTCTCCTTGTTCAATGATGGATATTTTAGCAAGTGTACTAATATGGTCAAAGTAATAAAATAAGGATCATCTCCACAAGGATTATAAATTTAAAAAAGTTATAATAGTACGATTTAAGTAACTACGGTCGTTTTATATTGGTTTTGTAGAAAATGATTACAAGTCTTATAGTCTCATGTCTTGCCACTAGTGCAAATACCTCAGAGTAATTCATACCTTGTCTTTGAAGGAAACCCTTTGCTACAAGTCTTGATTTGTGCTTCACTATTGTTCCCTCTAGACTCGTCCTTACTTTGAAAATCCACTTCACATTAATTGACTTCTTTTTTTCTGGTAGTTGAGTCAATTTCCATGTGCCACATTTTTCAATTGAACTGAGTTCCACCTTCATTTCTTCTTATCACACTTTGTCTTGCATTGCTTTCTGATAATTCAATAGTTCTACACCTGCTAACATTGTCAAGTATATTATTTCTCCTTCCTCATCCATTGAATTGTCAGGCACAATTTCATAATCATTCAACCTTGCAGGTATATGTCTGTTTCTGGTTGGCCTTTCCCTTTTGTAGAACTCACTGCATCAACTGGAGTCTCAGCTAAGAGTGGATTTACTTCATCAGAATCAAACTGCATTGGAGCCACTCTTGTTCTTTCGCCACCATGGTGTCAATCCTAGGATTTTGCTTCTCTGATGATTACGTCTCTACTAACCACCAATTTCTTAGTAACTAGATTATATAACCTATATGCTCTAGTTGGATGATAACCAACTAAGGTCATAGGTTCATTTTTATCATCAAGTTTAGTTCTTCTTTCATCTGGCACATGTCTATAGCATAATGATCCAAATACCTTGAGATGAGTGATGCAATGCTTGCTTCCTGACCAACATTCTTCTGGCACTTTATTCTTTAAATTCTTTGTAGGACATCTATTTAGAACATAAGCAGCCGTAGACACTGTTTCACCCCAGAATTTATGAGGCAATAACTTTTGTTTCAGCATACGCCTAGCCATTTCAACCAAGCTTATATTCCTTCTTTCATCCATACCATTGTGTTGAGGTGTGTAGGGAGAGTTACATCATGCAAGATTCCACTTTCATGACAAAATTGCTTGCATTCATGGGAATTGTATTCCCCTCCTCCATCAGTCTTGAGTATCTTAATCAATCTTCCACTCTATTTTTTCAACCATAGCCTTAAACCTTTTGAACATGTTTAAAGCTTCACCTTTGTTCTTTATCAGGTACACCCACAACATTCTACGGAATTCATCTATAAATGAGATCAAGTACTTGCTTCCTCCACAAGAAAGAGCTTCAAAAGGACCACAAATGTCAGATGAAACTACATTCAGTACATGTTTAGCTCCCATTGACAGCTTTTTCACAAAAGGTAACATACTTTGCTTCCCAATCATGCAAATGTCACATGCTTTATCAGGTTTCACTATCTTAGGCAATGCTTCTACTAACTTCATAGTATTGAGCTTGCCTAGACTTCTAAAATGCATATGCCCGTACCTTTTGTGCCAAAGCCACCTTTCTTCATCAGGAATTGATGAGTAAAGACACTGCGATTCTGAGGCCTTCAAGCTAGCCTTCCAGGTTTTGTTTCTTGTCAGAGTTGATTTCATAACCATTCTTTTCTTAACTTCAATGAGCCTTCTTCCATGATAACTGAGAATCATTTCTCGACCCGCTAGCCAATGCTCAGCAGATTACATTGCATACCAAAGACAAATAACACAGTTTCTATCAATGCGGTTTTTCCTTTCTTTATATGACAATCTTGCCCATGTCTTCTGCCATTAAGCTTTTGATATCTGTCAGCTTCACACTTGCTTCTGCTATCGATTCGTCCTCTTTCATATGCAACATTTCATACTGCTTTCTCAAAGGCTGGAGGCACACCTTATTGACCTTCGCATCTCCACCATAGTATTTTTCCAGCATATCTCATGCTTCTTTCGAAGTTACAGCATGAGCTATTTTATCTAACACCTTCGATTCAACACATTGGTGAATGTAAAATAGAGTCTTCTGATCTTTCTTCTCGCATTTTCTACTAGCGGTTGAATCTCCTCTGCTACATACGCTGACACATCTTGAACATTAAAGATAACTCTCATCTGAATGCACCATTTTCTCCAATTCTTGCCATCAAGAACTGGAAGGAAGATTTGCAGGCAAGTTTTTGCTGCTTATTCCAACCATAGATACAATTACTATTGATTCTGAATTTCAACCGATCTCGTGATACCATATGTTAGTGTTATCACACCTTATTAATGTGGAAGTTAAGAGTATTGGAGTAGAAGGGAAAAAAAGAGAGTTATGAATATTAATGAGTGAAAGTTCTGGTATTGAAAAGTTATTATAAAACTACATAAATAGTTATTATATATACAAATGTAATAACTAACTAACTTAGCTTGAACTAATACACTAACAAACTTGACTTCAACATTAATACCTTCAACAAAATTACAATGATAAAAATATAATATTAGTTCATATATCATCAATTCATTGAGAGACATAGAAATATAAAAATACTATAATAGTTAATGGTAAACTTTATGAATGGGTTGGATCTAGAATTACCCGAAATCCAATTATTTTAAACAGTTTTCATTTTCAAAATATTGACTCAGTACCCACTCTTGTGGATCATGGATCAATTTATATGGATTTGATCGGATTTTGTGAATTTATTTCAATCCATGAACACCCCTATCTTTTTGCATTTTCCTAACAATTAATGAAAACGTTATTCACTATTCACCATGTGCACTGGAAAATATTCCCAATCAATTCAAAATCTAAAAAAAGAAATTACAAAATCTGATTTAAAATGGCTATGACATGCAATAAATGGACTAATTGACCCTCCCCTACATTTGTTTAACAGAAATATCAAAAATAAATAAATAAATAAAAATGACCTAATTACAGATACTGCTATCATATTTAGCCCAGACCTTAAGGAGACATAATATTCCATTTAAAAATTGTTGCTTTTTATTGGATACTTTAAAATTGTAAATCCTTAATAAATAAAACCCTGCTGGCACTTGTTAGAATAAGTAAACAATACATACCAACCAACATTTGAGAATTCAATTAACAATTTCAAAAATCAGAAATATTTCAGAACTCAACAGATTTAGCAATGGACACACAGTATTATGGTTTAGATTTCACATACCCACCAAACGTTTGAATATCAAGTTACATTTGTCCCAAAACTAGTTAAAAACATAATTCTTAACTAAAAGAATCGTGCTTGCAACAAGTTACTGTAACACATTCTTCAACACACCTCTTTATTGATTAAATTACCTGCTTCTTTTATATAAGATCCATATGAATTTTAAAGTGTTACCAAATATATGTTTAAAAAGAGTGTTGTTAATTCTCATCAACCAATAATAAACCAAATAGCAAGCACATTGACACAAACAAAATAGCAAGCACATTGACACAAACAAAATAGCAAGCACATAGTTGAAATGCACCATAACTACTCAACCCTCTCTACCATAATATTGATCACAAGCACTTTCATTTGGCACCTTCAAAAGTCTCAAATGAACATCATTGTCCCGAATCAAAAATCTGTTTTCTAAATTGAGGTTTAATTATAAAAAAAAAAAATTACATAACGAAATATACCAACCATGCTATTGCCACTTTCCCACTAAAAATATACAACACCAATTGGTGGCTGAGATCAGTTCTATTGATTTCTCGCAGATAAGCATGAGCAGCAGCGGGAGAACAACTCCAACTTAAAGAATCATGTCGATGATCAGTCTTCAATTAAACGGTGAAATTCCTCTTTCCTTAAAAAGACATCTACAGTAATTGCAAAAAGCAGTAACTACAAACAAGCAGATATTTGAAGTCATTACAAAAAATAATCTGGAGTTTTGCGTGTAGTGTCAGGCTCAATTTGCCTGGGAGCTGGATCAAACTGAAGAAAATTCTGATCCATGTTCTCTCCGATTTCCAGTATGGCAGCCATATTCCCACACCGGTAACAGTAATTTGGAGCACTAAATACAGTGACCACATTCTTCTCCTAAAATGGTGATATCAATATGAAATCATTAGAAAACAGCATAAAGGTATTACTAAAGACGGAAAAAAAAATAATTATCCACCTGAGCCCAATTGTATCCTTCCATAACAAGCTGGTGAGCTCTAGATATCAGTGAGAGACCATTGGTATGATTGAACTGTGAAGCTATATCCTGCCCAAATGTGTATCCAGCACCACGTGGAGATATTCCCCATCCACAACGATCATCGGGATCAGACCATAAGAGATCACACATTGGCCCTTCATGTGGAACCTGTAATGTGCAATTACAGCTGTTACAAGAATTAGGATACCTAAATTACATCTTGTTTTGTTTCCTATCATATTAATAAAACCTCCAAGATGTAGTTGAGACACATGGTTTCACCATATGTCTCTCATTTTCTTTCATGCAGCCTGAAGAAAGGCTGCTAACATACAAGATATTTGATCAAACCAGATAGGAAAAGAAATGTCCTTATTGAAGGTCATCAATGAAACAAAGGTGGCAATTCAACTTAAACAGGCAGCTATTTAGCTCTGTTAAGAGTCCCACATCAGACAATATAAGGCATGAACATGTGTTTATAAGTGGGGGCAATCCTCACTCTACAAACCGGTTTTGTAGGGCTGAATTAGGCCCAACCACGTTTCTAAACATGGTATCTAGAGCCTGCTAAGAGGCAATTCTTTCTTCGCCGTGCTTTACCCGGTTGACCCACTATCTTCCGGTGAGAAATTTTTTTTAAATTTTTTTTTGCAAACCGTGTTGTCACTCCGGTTTGTCTCACTTTTCAAAATTCTCCGGTGACCACCCTGCCGCTGTTACTGTGCTGGCAAAACTTCCGGTGACGTTTCGGAAAGCCGATCTCACCATCAATTTCCAACATTCTCCGGTCATAGCCGCCGCCGTCGCTACTATTCTCAACGACCTTCCGGCAAACTTTTTCATCGGCAGAAACCTCCGCACGCGCCACCTCTGTCTCCGCGCGATCGATCGCGTGATATTTTCTCTCTTCAGATACTCATGGCTACTCCTCAGAACTTTACGCCAAACTACGATGATTTTCTCAGGTGGTATCAGAATTATCAGAACTCAGATTCTACTGCTACGGTAGCACACTGGTAATTTATCTGTTTGCCTCTCTCAATCATCTCCTCTTCGACCTTGGGTCCTTGATTCTGGTGCATCTGATCATGTTACTGGTAATAAAAATTTGTTCTCTTCCCTCTCTACCTCTGGTTTCTTACCTACTATAACTTCTGCCAATGGTTCTCAAACCCGATCCGAAGGGATTGGTACTGTTCAAATTCTACCTTCTCTATCTGTTACTTCTGTCTTCTATGTACCTAATTGTCCATTTAATTTACTTTCAGTAAGTCGTTTAACTCGTTCTCTTGATTGTAGTATCACCTTCACTAATAATAATGTTACCCTGCAGGATCGGAGTTCGGGAAAGACGATTGGCGTCGGATATGAGTCTCAAGGCCTTTACTACCTTTCATTGTCATCTCAGACATGCTCAACCAAAGATTCTCCACTCACTATCCATGCTCAGTTGTCTTTCCAAATTACATAAGTTGGTGCCAAATTTATCGAAGGTATCTAATTTACATTGTGAGTCGTGCCAGTTAGGGAAACACACTCGTAGTCAACTTCCCAGTCGAGTCAACAAACAAGCTTCGTCCCCTTTTGCTTTAGTTCACACCGATGTTTGGGGTCCCTCGCGTACTGTCTCTACTCTTGAGTCTAGGTATTTTGTCACCTTTATTGATGATTTTTCACGTTGCACGTGGTTATTTTTAATGAAGAATAAATCTGAATTGTTTTCTATTTTTGAACAATTTTATCGGGAAACAAGAACCCAATTTGGTTTGTCCATTCGTACCTTAAGAAGTGACAATGCACGTGAATATTTATCTCAACAATTTCAAACATTTATGTCATCCAATGGTATTTTGCACCAAACATCTTGCCCTTATACACCCCAACAAAACGGGGTAGCCGAACGCAAAAACCGGCACCTCGTAGAAACCACTCGGACCCTACTTCTCCATGGTAATGCTCCTCTCCGGTTTTGGGGAGATGCAGTGCTCACGGCATGTTTACCTCATAAATCGCATGCCCTCATCTGTCCTTAATAATAAAATCTCTCATTCAATATTGTTTCCAAACTCTCCACTCCACCCAATTCCTCCTCGAGTCTTTGGGTCTACGTGTTTTGTACACAATCTCTCCCCTGGTCTCGATAAACTATCAGCTCGATCACTAAAGTGTGTCTTTCTTGGCTATCATCGATCTCAAAAGGGTTATCGTTGCTACTCACATACTCTACAACGATACCTCGTATCGGCCGATGTTACCTTTTTCGAGTCTATTCCATATTTCGAGTCCATCTAAGTAACTACGGAACCTCTTCAGGAAAGTATTCCCACACCTCTTCCGGAAGTCCCATCTGTCATTATCCCCCATCATTCTAGGGAACCTGACCCACTCGATACCCCTACGGTTGACCCCCTCACTCCTCGCCCACTTCAAACATATCAGCGTCGTCACCCAACGTCTGTCGTACCTGTCCCTGAAGTCGCACCTGTCCCTGAAGTCTCACCTGTCCCTGAGGACACTACGGACTCTCCTCCTCCTCCGACGCTCTCGCCATCACCGAATCCGATCCTGCAACCTGAGTCTGATCTTCCGATTGCCCTTCGAAAAGGTATACGTCAAACACGAAATCCTTCTCCACATTATATTGATTTATGTTATCATCGTCTTTCCCCTTTGCAGTATACTTGTTTGTCTTCTTTGTCTTCTGTTTGTATTCCTAAAACTCCAAGTGAAGCATTATCTCACCCTGAGTGGAGGCAAGCAATGATTGATGAAATGTGTGCTCTTCAAAGCAGTGGTACCTGGGAACTGGTTCCTCTACCCCATGGAAAATCTTTAGTAGGTTGTCGTTGGCTTTATACAGTGAAGGTTGGTCCAGATGGCAAGATTGATCGATTTAAAGCTCGCTTGGTAGCCAAAGGATACACTCAAATTTTTGGGTTGGATTATGGTGATACATTTTCGCCTGTAGCCAAGATGGCATCTGTTAGACTTCTTCTAGCCATTGCAGCCATTCGACATTGGTCTCTTCATCAACTTGACATCAAAAATGCATTCTTACATGGCGATCTTGAAGAGGAAGTATATATGGAGCAACCACCTGGGTTTGTTGCTCAGGGGGAGTCATCGAATATGGTTTGTAGGCTACACAGGTCTCTTTATGGTCTTAAGCAATCTCCGAGAGCTTGGTTTGGTAGATTCAGCACTGTAGTACAACAATTAGGTATGATCCGTAGTGAAGTTGACCATTCTGTTTTTTATCGTCACTCACCCCAAGGGTGTATTTATCTTATTGTGTATGTAGATGACATTGTCATAACTGGTAGTGATCAGCAGGGAATACTCCAGTTGAAACAACATCTCTCGAAACAATTTCAGACAAAAGATCTTGGTAAACTCCGTTATTTCTTGGGTATTGAAGTAGCCCAATCTAAAGATGGTTTGGTGATTTCTCAGCGGAAATATGCTATGGATATTTTGGAAGAAACAGGTTTGTTAAATGCTAAATCAGCCGATACTCCTTTGGATCCAAGTGTTAAACTACTACCCAATCAGGGGAGCCTCTATCTGACCCAGGAAGGTATAGGAGATTGGTTGGAAAGTTGAATTATCTCACAGTCACTCGTCCGAACATTTCTTTTGCAGTCAGTGTGGTAAGTCAGTTCTTAAATTCCCCTTGTCAGGAACACATGGATGTTGTTATCCGGATTTTGAGATACATCAAATGTGCTCCAGGAAAAGGTCTTGTGTATGAGGATAAAAGACATACCCAGATAATTGGATACTCTGATGTTGATTGGACAGGGTCACCCATTGATAGACGATCCACCTCTGGGTATGGTGTACTTGTTGGAGGAAACCTTATATCCTGGAAAAGTAAGAAACAAAATGTAGTTGCAAGATCAAGCGCCGAGGCAGAGTATAGGGCCATGGCAATGGTAACATGTGAACTTATTTGGTTAAAACAGTTGCTCAAGGAACTTCAAATTTAAGAAGCAAGACCAATGACACTTATTTGTGATAATCAAGCTGCATTGCACATTGCTTCAAATCCAGTCTTCCATGAGAGGACAAAACATATTGAGATAGACTGTCACTTTGTCAAAGAGAAGATCGAGTCAGGCGACATCGTCACAAGCTTTGTCAACTCTAATGATCAATTGGCAGATGTGTTTACAAAATCTCTACGAAGCCCCAGAACTAATTATATATGTAACAAGCTTGGTGCATTTGACTTATATGCTCAAGCTTGAGGGGGAGTGTTAATATTTATAAATATATATAGTGTTAAGAATATTTGTATATAGAATAGTCCCACATCGACTATATCATGTAATTAGTTGTAATCTATTTATATATAATAATGTCTCCGTAGTGCTTTTCAAAACACACGGTTTATTCAAATGTCTCTTAGTCTCTTGTATTTCAACAAGCTCAAATATGATTCTTTAGTTAAATGCAGAGCATTAATGCTAGTTGTTACACACGAACCTCATGTATACGATCCAATGCTCTGATATTGTCCAGTGTGTCCAAAGAAGGTGAGAGACCTCCATGCAAGCAGAAAACCTAAAATATATGAGGAATTTAGAGGCTGACATACAATTAGTCAGAAGAACGTTGTGCGACATATTTAACTCAAACCTGACTCTCAATGAGGGCAGTCAGAGGTAAGTAATCAAACAAGTCGGTAAAAAATTTCCAAACATTGGCATTTCCGTATTTTCTCAAGCATTCATCGTAGAAGCCATACCTGGAAGCAGAAAACGGAGAAGGATATAGATGAAATGAAATCGAAAAGCAATAAATACAAACATTATTTTATTTTGGTATTAAAAAGAAGTTTTGTTTCTAGTGTTTATTGAGATTTTTGTTTTTTACCATTTTATATTTCAATTCCAAATCTTTGATTAATTGGTGTTAACATTAGTAAGTGTCACTAAGAGCACCTACCTAAACCTTACCTTAAGAAACGGTTATTGACAACTCTTTCACACCAAGAATGATACAACTATACCTCATGTCAATCTGCTCTTGCTGTCCATAAAACGACCTCATAGTCTTCTAACTCACTAGCAGTGTTGTCGATGGCGGTCCATGGCGGAGAGCCAAAATCCCGCCATACAGGCCGCAAAAGGGGCACCAATATAGGGGATTATGGTGGAAAAACCTGCAATATTGGTTGATAATTACCATTGCGGCCAGCCCAAAAAATGCCATATATATCCGCCATAGCGACCATGGTGCCGCAATTTGATAACACTGCTCACTAGCCAACAGCTGTTTGTAAGCTATCATTGTCACTCAATAATTTAGAAATTATGATCCTCTATGACTCTTATTTTTCCAAATTGTAACACGGACCCAGTAAATAGGGGGCTGTTTCTCATTACATACAGGCTTGATATATGTTGTTTCAGAGTTACATGTCTCATGTTAAAGTGTACACTCTACATAATCTATATTGCATGTTCATATCAACAAAGGAATCTATGTTGTCAAACTCGGCCAGAACGGCTGTTATCTTGGCACGAAACAACCAAGCTAACTAATCCCAGTCACACCGGAGCAGCACAAACGGATGACACAGTTGGAGCAGCCACAATAACGGGAGTGAATTTGGAACCGCACGGGTCCTCAGTTTTTAGCAATTATGTGTTTATTAATATTAATTGTATCAGAGTCCGCATCACTAAAGTAACAACCGTGCCACTCCCGTTCCATTTTTGGGATGGCTGTGCCGCTATCCGAGTTTGATAACATAGAGAGGAACCTTGCTACTACAATGATTGCTCATAGGGATAGACAGCACAAGCAATAAAGAACATAAAGTTACCCTAAAACTAAGGATTATATCAACATGTAATGATGAGAATGACAATAATAGAACAATCATGGTTCTACAAAACCTAATTGTTTCTCTTAAGGCCTTCATAGTTTACCCTATGGATATATGGTTCAATCACAATTGAGCTCTATTGAGTATGCAAAAGCAAAAAACTAGAGATATACGGGTAAAGAAAATTGTTGGGGCTTAACAACTAAAATGCCAACCGATTGTGTTGGGTGAGAACATATAATGAGGAGAAATAGTTCATACACTTGAGTAATTTGACGGGTTTCATGGTTTCCCCTGAGAATTGTAATTCTATCCCTGTAACGAACTTTCAAGGCCACGAGAAGTGTAACAGTCTCCACAGAATAGTATCCACGATCTGCATGAATGAAGCATTATGGTGAGTAAATTGCAGCAAAGGTAATATCAAGTATCTGGCTTTAAAAAATTGTGGGATAATGTATGATGTATACTTGTATATAGATCTGCATCAAATCTGGAGCTGTAAGATACTAATTAAACATTACATAATAGAAAATAAAAAATAGATACTATACACACGACCATAAAAATCATTGCATATTTCCTACAAATAGAAATAGTATCAAATATCAATTTCACCCCTTCCATAAGCACCTTCTATAAAGATATGAGAGAGAAGATTCCAATGCACCTATTTTATAAAGATATGAGAGAGAAGATTCCAATTTCACCCCTTCCATACGCATCTTCTTAAGAACTTTTGCTTAGAGCCACAGTTTTGATTCAATAAGCAATTGAAACCCAAGGAATTATATAGAATTTGGATAACTCTCCAGCTATACCACAGTTCAAAGTTCAAACAGAATATGTTCCAGACAAATTTGGAAAGAATATCAAAGAACTGATACTTGACATCACAGCGCTTCATTCTAGAAGAATCCATTCATCGACACTTTTGACTAATAAATCTTCGCTTCTTCTAACATACAAACAAATCACAACCAAAAGTATTTTCCATAATTTAACTACCAACATTTATTATGAACTACAAGGTAATAAAACAACCACACTCACACAACAAGATCCAACAACCAATAATTCAATTTCAATACCAGATATTACAACTTTTATATTCAAATTGATCATCTCTAAACCTTAATTACCCACAGAAAATACATTTACAAAAAAGAAACAAAAAGGGAAAAAGAATAAATCAAAACTCACCTACATAATCACCCATAAAAAGGTAGTTAGTATGGGGAGCATTCCCTCCTATCCGAAACAACTCGATGAGATCGTAAAACTGGCCATGAATATCACCGCAAACCGTGACAGGACACTTCACCGGCTGCACGTTCCACTCTTCCACCAGAATGGCTCTCGCTTGATCGCAGAGAGCCTTCACTTCCAATTCTGTCAAAGGCTTGCACTCCATAAGATGTTCGATTTGACGTTCTAGATCCGCTTGAGACGGCATGGTTGATCACTACCGATCCAATCCAGATCTTCACTTCTTCTCGTATATAGATCTGGTCTTGCCGTGGTTAACAGAGAGGAACGCCGGAATAGATGGAATCGGAGCGTCGTAGACGGTGTTGGGTTAGATTCTGAATCCGAACGCGGAGAGTAAAACGCACCGTTTTTGGAGGTGGTTCTGTTGGTTTCAGTCTCTCTCTCTGAAAGACAAAAACAACGCGACAAAAATTATATCCTTTTTACAACAAAACTAGAGTCTTCAAATTATTACTCTGTCGATATTTTTGAAGATTTGTTTCTACTTTTATGTCATTTTTGCATTTTAATGCCTGGTGTCTTTTTTTTTAATGATAAAAAAAGAGGGTCAAAGGCCCCACGCTCATATAACTTTTCTTATTTATTGATTGATATTGAAAATATAAAATAATTTTATGCTATTATTTAATAAAATTTATCAATCTGTTATGATATATCAATAACTTAAAATACACAGTTTCATAATAAGATATATGAGAATGGTTGATTGATAATATAAAATAAAGTTTGATATAATAGGATACATGAGAATGATTTATTGATAGTATAAAATAATTTTATATTATTAATGCATATCAATTAAATTTTTATTATTATTTTAAAATTATATTAATGAAAAGGATAGTAAATATATATATATATATATATATATATATATATATATATATATATATATATATATATATATATTCTAGTTTATCTTTAAGCTAATAGATCAAAATAAAAAATATGTTTATAGGTTGTTTTATAAGCAAAATAATTTTAATTATAAGAGATGTTATAATTTACTGCATAAGAAAAGATAAAAAAGAAAATTACAATCTGATCTCACTTGATCAGAAAGAAATTAGTAGTCTGACACACGTCGTGAGCTCCTATGTTCATCGGCTTTGTAAAGGAGGAGGGAGTGTACCTGCAAGGTACTTCGATGCTTAAGTGAGTAACGGAGTTTTAGAAAGAGTAAGTAAAAAGAGAATAGGTGTAGAGAATAAGATACATGACCCTCTAGTGAGAGAGGATATTTATAATGTGTCCCTAGCGCAGGGCCAACGGTTACATTGCATTGGGCCGGATTGTCAAACCCAACACAAGTAACTGATAGAGCTTATGTGGCGTAAGGAAGACCAGCGCATGGTCTTCGCCCTGGATCAACTGCCCCGTTGTTAGCTCCTAAGTTCGACGTTGTTGCACCCCAAAATTTGCCCAACCTTTTCTAACCTAGGTTTATGTTTCAATTGCATAGTCATTTGCATTAGCATCATGTACATAGTGTATTCATCTGCATTGCATAGGCAAGCTACCTTAATCAGGAGATCAAGTGTTATTCTTGTCTCAAGAGGTATATCCAAGGGCTTCATTCATAGTCAAGACTACTCAAGCCATCAGGGAAGAATTTGAGCTTTGAAGTGTTGACAGGTTGACCAGTGAATTCTCTCCTATCTTGAGATTGTTTAGGGATCATCAGAGGAAGTGTGAGCTATGAGCCAAGAGCATGAGGTGTGTATGGATGTTATGAAGAGCCTAGATGATCATTTTTGAAGAAGAACCAAGTCATTGGAATGATTGCAAGAGCCTCAGTTGAAGTCAGTCAACTAGGGTCAACACCAGGTCAACACTAGGTCAAAGAAGTGTTTTGAAGGGGCATCAAGGAGCATTTGAAGAATTTGGGATTCATTATTTGCTACATGGATATGGATATGATGTTGTGCTAAAGAAAAATCAAGAGGAGTCAAGGAGAACTGAAGTTACTAAATTAGGGTTTCAGTGTAAAATCCCCTGATTTATGTCAAACTTCAAAGCAGTGTAACTCAAGATGCAAGCTTCATATGAATTTCTGGTCCACATGAAACTTGTAGAGTATCTTCATATCTTTAATTTGAGTGGTGGAAGTCATCAAGATGATTTATAGAACTCAAGTTATGGCTCTTGCAAGTTACAGGTCCTCTGAGGGCACTGAAATTTGTCTGTGAAAGTTGTCTGTCTTCCAGGCAACTTTTGACCTTCAAAGATATTTCAAATGGATTCCTGGCCAACATGAGAGTTGTTTCTTATTGTCTTAGCTTTCTAGGAAGGTATGGTATGCCTTCATATGATTTGTGGAACTCTACTTATGGTCTTGGCAAGCAAAGGGTATTTTGGTCATCTGAGGATTACAGGTCATTCTTAGCCTATGCCTAAAACTCATACAAGGAAGCTTCAAATGAAAAACTTCACAACATCAAAGTTGCTCAAAATGCCATTTTAAGTCTAGAAAAGAAGTCATGAAAGTTTGGAAATGCATAGAATGAGACTTGACCAAAGTTGGTGGAAAATGACCTAAAAAAGGCATATAAGTTGAAAAAGTTGAAATGAAAAATTGGTTTGAGAGATATACAAATCCAAAATGGGTCATCCAATATACCAAATTGATTCCAAACATAATTTTAGAGACATTGGTTCAGCCACTTTTTTGAGTTAGGGGTTAAATTTTGGACTTGCTTTGTATTTTTGTTACTTGCATAATAAGGCAAGTATGGAAAACTTGACATAAGGTGAATTTCAAGGCAAGGAGATTGGTTTTTTCACACATACCATTTCAATAACTCATGAGAGGAGATCTTGACACAAATATGAGAGGGTGTATGCATGAGATATGAAATGCATCAAAGTATCATTAAGTGAGAATTTCATGAACTTTCCACCACATTCTACACTTTCCTAGATCAATCTAGAAACTTCTAGATCTGCCTATCCTCATCTATATAATGAACTGAAGCCATTGGTGCAAGGGGTTGGTAAAAAGAGTGTGAAGAGAGAGTGATATACCATTTTCTCCATTTTTGCAAATCAGTCTCAAACTCCATTTTCTTCTTCCTTTCCATTGAATTTTTCTCACCAAATCAGTTCCTTGGATCCTACTGAACAAGTGCACATAGATTAAAGTGGCCATTGATGAGTGTTTGAAGGTGTAGCTTCCAAATTGCAAGTGAAGCAAGTTGGATCCAATCTCACAATCCAAGCATTGTCCATCCAAGATCTTGCAAACAGAAAGATTCTCAGCCATTGAAGACCATTTGTGACCAGTTTCAAGCAGTGGATTGGAGTGTAGATACATCTGCCATCACCATTTTTCAGGTTTGCAAAAGCCTTCGAATCCCTCTATTTATGCATTATTAGATGAAATGGCTAGGGTAATCATGATTAGAGACCTTAGGTGTGTGATTCCTGAGAATTAGAGAGAGTTCCATGGAGGTTGTTAGCAGGGTGGTGATTCTTTGAAGATCAAGATTAGGCTGGATATTGAATTATAATGGTCGTGTAATGGCTTGTTAAGATCAGTGTAGCATGATGAACAAGGTAGGATAGTTAAATTGGAGAATTGTGAGGTTCCATTGCAGTGCATCATGAGGGAGTCAGATTGTTACACCTATCGGGTTTTATCCTAGGGTTAGTTTCAGTCCAAACTAAAGGCACCATCGTGTTTATGGGAAAGAATAGAGCAACTTTGCTCTTTGTAGTGTGGAGTTTCATGGCCTATGGAGAGAGCACGAGGAGCTTGCAGATGGTTGCATGGAAGCTGGGAAGTTCTGAAACCCTAGGTCTGATTGGGGACGACGGCCATGCACCGTTGGATCATTTCTATTATTTGACATTTTCATCTCATCAAATGGCTATTGTTTAAAGTTGAGAAATGGAGGGAACTGACCAGCATCAAACGATGCGTTTCACTTAAACGCAGCTACTTAAACGCAGCTATGGGCCTTGGATTCAGATTCCTATCCCCACCCCCCAGCGAAGCCCAATTGGAAAATGAACTGTAAACCATTGCTATTTGCACCGTGGATCCATTTATTTTCCTTTAATTTTTAATTCTTTTTTCTGATGCGCGCTGGGCCTTGCAGAAATGATATTCGCGCCCCCATCTTCCCAAGCCCATCAGAATTTGAACTAGGCGTGTATGCTTATAACACCCCCTCCCCTTTTATTTCTATTTTGTGATTTTATTTTCTTTATTTTTCTTTGATCTTTTAAAAAATCATAAAAAATTGAAAATAGCTTAGTTTTAATTGGTTCTTTTTATGATAGGTCAATAATTCTGTCTAGAAAAATAATAAATCATCAAAATAGCCTTTTATGTTGTTTTACTATTTTTTGTGTATTTTTCTTGTAAATAGCATTTTATTAAGTTTAGTTTGATACTTAAATTTGTTGATTTTTGTTCTAATAGTTCCCTTTAGATTTAGGGTTCATTCTTTTTAGAGTGATTAGTTTAGGACTTCAACTTGTAAGTAGGATTTAATTCATATTTTTAGGATTAAATTTTAGGTGATTTGTTTAGGTGTGAATAACATGATGAAAATTAGGGTTTTAGGTGAGCATAGGTGAGATAGATTTAATTCTTTTAGAAATTTTGATTTGATTTTTGGGGTATGGGACTATAGGGGTTATGGGTATAAGATAGATCCCTTAGAAAATATTAGGATTCCCCTACTGCTATTAGTATATTGCTTATATTTGATTGACTGTGTGGTGTGCCCTCTTTAGGGTTATTATTTTGTCTGTGTGGGGTATTGGGTTTGTTTGGGACTTGGGGTTTGAGCTGAAGACCTGAGATGATGAAGCCCATTTGAAGACCAGATAATGAAGACCAACTTCCAGAGTTGATGAGGAGTATCTCTTGCTGGCAGCTGTTGAAGTTTGTAGGATCTAGGAGTTAGGTAGAGCTCTAGAGTAGCAAACTTGATTCTCAAACATGGAAGGTCTTGATTACTTCCATCCTTCTCTGTGATGCAGAGTCTCTCTAAAACACTCACCCCCTTCCTTTGGAAGGCTTGGTGCTAATGTCTAAGGGATAGAACTCTTGAGAGAAATATTCCTTGTGTTGATAGCAGCATGTTTGCCACCCTTGGTGGTCAACTAATTGCTTAACACCCAGTTTACTCTTGTGACTGATTCCTCAGCTTGGAGAGTAGAACTTGAAGAAAA